TACCCTACTACCTTAACCGTCTTTTAATGCTCCGACTTTCGATTTGGAAATGTAAATGAAAAGGTTAGCTAAATTTTTTGGTTTGTTTAAGAGTCAGGGTCACGAGTTGCGTAGGAACGGCTAATCGAGTTTTTGTGTCTTAACGATGACTGAGGTTAGAGTAATTGATGTCAAATATATTAATTATTTTATAAAATAATAAAAATTGTATATGTGAGGGGAAAAAACATATTTTACCCTTCAATTGATTAGAAATTACAAAAATGACACGTACGGGATGCAAAGAAATGTGAAGGAAGGAGCGTCATGTCGTCAGAGTACCCGACTGTCGAGTCCATATCCAATCCCACTACACTCAGCTTTAATTTAAAATTCCCTCTTTTTTTTTTACCCAATTAATTTAATTTTATCTTTTCTTTGATTTTTACTGGTTGGTTCTGAAATAAAAATCGAGTTTAAATTATATATCACATTTTATTAAATACTTTTTACAAAATTACACCAAACTTAATATTATTACCGATCACTTTTGCTAATTCCAAAATTTTAAAAAAGTACTTTTCTTAAACAATAATTAATTTTTTTTAAGTGTAAAATGGAAGAAAAAGGCAATCATGTGGTATCTTTTGTGAAGGATGTTGAGAACATTTGACATGAAAAAGTGTTGGATTAACTTTCGGATAGAATAAGGTAAGATATGAAATTCATAAGTGGTGCTTTTGGGAAGATGTGACAAGGAAGCAATGATATTCAAGGTTAAATTAGTATATTTGCATTTTACACTTTTATTAAATTATTCAAAATCATTCCAGGAGAAAAAAAAATCATTTTTATCCACTTTTTTGAGGTCCGCCCGATGTCTAGTTCGGATACCATTTATAACGGCGTTCCGCTTTGCATTATTTATATTGTTCTCTTTGGGCTTTCCCTTTCGAGCTTCCCTTTAAGGCTTCAAAACGCGTCTACTAGAGTAAGGTTTCCACACCCTTATAAAGAGTGTTTTATTCCTCTCCATAACCAATGTGGGACATCACAATCCTTTCTCGAATCGACGTGGGACCACCCCCAAATCTACCCCTTTGGGGCCAGCATCTTTATTGATATATCGTTTGGTGTCTAGCTTTTATACGATTTGTAACAACCCAGATACACCACTAACAAATCGTCTTGGTGGGTGGTAAAAGAGTAGACACATAAACGGTGTAATTTAAGTTGGAAATATGAAAGATCACTGGGCCCACTCATATTTCTTGTGTAATGTAATTTATTAAATAAAAAAAATAGTGTAAGGTAACCGAAAACTTAATAAAAGAACCTTTGTAATTTCCAAAATCTAAATGGGACCCTTAAAAAATATATTTCTTCCACAAACGACAAAAAAGAAAAAGTCAGTTACGAGTCCACCGCTGCTTTGGTGCATTCGTCCACGTAAGCAAGTATTGGGCCCACCGTGGACGTTCTCGCACGTGTGCAAGTTCAACGGAATAGCAACCGAGTCTGAGACACGGTCGGAAATCTGTCTGTAGTAAGTCGTGGGCCCCGCAACATCTAGTCAAAGTCAAACACCCACATACGACGTCGCACCAACATCGTTAACTCTATATTCCGCCACTCATTTAATTGATTAAAATAATAATAATAATAAGAGTATTGTCTCACACTTCGAATCCAATGTTCAATTGGTCCCCACATGCGTTTTAACTTTGTCGTTTATTTCAAAATGCACATATCCATGTATACTAATATAATAAACATATTTAATTTTAGAAAAACTAATGATTCTTTCTAATTTAAATTTAAATTTTAACGTTTAACTTTTCTATAAAAAAATCTCATATTAATTAAGAAAGCGTCTCATACTTATATACTCACGATCTTCTTCTTAGTCAGCCAATACGACACTCAAACAATATTATTCGTTATTATTTATTAAATTAAAACTATTTTTTCGGGTAGCATAGAAGGAACAAATTGATTGGATTCCACGTACTTTTTACAACATAATATAAAAAATAATTGTGTTGTTTTTCGATTTTGTTGCTTTTTGGAGGGCTCGAAGAGAGTACAAAATGGGATTTGGAAGGATTAGAAATGTCACACTAAGAAGGATATGCAAATCACAACCATTCATATGCAAAAGCCAATAGTCAAAGATGATTACAAAAGCAAACCTTTTCCTTAATAAAAACATCTAGAGATTCCTTTGGCATTCATTAAAACGTCGTTTTATTTCAATTGTTTACATTCTCTTGATAGCAACGTATACGTCTTTTGTATTACTGTTTTTCTGTGTACAAATCGTAAATGTTTAATTTATTTTTGTTCATATATGAAGTATCGTTCTCTCAAGTCGATATAAATGTATTAGGGTGAGTAGGGTTAAGGAATATAGTTATGGTTATCGACCCCATTTAGTTAAGAAGAAAAAAATCTCTTCCCACCTGACTTCCCTCAAGGTTCTATGACACGTTTACTAGAGAGAGGTTTCTATCAACTCTCTCGTTGACACACCTGATATGAAATCAACCCAAGGAAAAGTATGAAACGAATTACCTTGATGATCAAGATCAAGATTAAGGAAAACTCGTGAATCGAATCACTCCACAAGAGGTTTGATCAATACCAATTGAATGACTGTAACATGCAAATTCTAAACACAATAATTTGTAAAAAAAAAATCTTAGCTCTCAATAAAGCTAAAAAAATTTAAATTCTATTCTTTTTTAATTCTAAAATGTGATGTCTCTAGTCAAAGAAAAGAAGGCTTTATATTGCCTTTACAACCTTAACCTATATCACACATAACTCCCAAATTAAATTGGTTAGTAAATGAGAAATACCCCTAATCTCCCAATTAAAATGGCTAGTTAAGGGTGGAATATGGTAACCTAGGTAGGTTACAATATAACCTTAACTCCTATGAAAAACAAACAAATATTTAAATTATAATTAAATAGTGCAATGAATGAAATGTGACCATAAATTTAACATATAAGGGAGGTCTCCAACGTCTTTTAGAATTTCCTTTAATGAGCTCATCATAGCTTGAATATAGGTGTACAAGGTTTGTTGCAGCTTCTTGGCTCTCGTCCTTGTAATTGGACCGTGAGGTATGAAAATTCCTTGGTCGTGGTTCATATCAGCACTCCTCGGTGGCTGGCCTTGACACCATTTGTAAAAGCTCAACCCCGCCGCTAGCATATATTGTTCTCTCCTGGACTTTCACTTTTGAGTTTCCCCTCAAAGTTTTAAAACGTGTCTATTAGGAAAAGGTTTCCACTGACCCAACATCCTCAGTATCACACTGCTTGGTGCTTGACTCTGATATCATTTGTAACAGCAAGCCCACCGCTAGTAATATCACCTCATGTCTAGGAATCATACCATAATTCAAAATTTAGATTCGACACCTAATGATCACAATATTTCACGTACATCTCTTGCAACACAACTATGTTATCCACTTATCTTGAATTGTTTCAAAGAACGAATATTATTTCTACAAGCAACATCAATTGTTTTAATTAAATAAATGGTAGTACAAAACATTTACGCTACTATATTAGCTCCAGAGATTTTCCCATATCATGTCATATAATTTGGCATTTGTTTTTTGTGTAATTATTTGAATAATTATTTATACAAAAAGAAAAAAAAAACTATTTGATTGACTAGTTTATGTCGAAAAAAAATCTTTTGTTTTTTTTTATGACGTGTCCCAAATAACTAATAAATAAATATTTTTTAAAGGTTATGAATGTCATAAATAATTGTTTTAGTGCACTTATTATTAATAAATTGACATGTCAATAATTTAGCATCATATCTACTTTTTTATTTGCTTTAATAATTTGATTTGATTGAAAACAATTGGGTTTCCTTTTTTTTGGTTAATTGTGTGATATTTAGAAAATTAAATATTATAATAAACCGACGCTTTACTCTAGAACGCAAAATGAGCTTCTTGTGGTCTTCAACGTTCATATGGGCCTCAGCCCAAATCTGATTTATACAGAACACATTGAAGGCCCAGCCCATCTAGAAGTCTTCTGGGCTACACCCTGATGTTTCATTAGGCCCATAAAATTGTGATATATGGGCTTGAATTTAAAAATGAATAAATTAAATTTGTGATCTAAAATTTTAAAATAAATTTGTGAAATTAATAGTTTTAAAAAATAAAAAAAGAAGAAGAGAGAGCCAATAAAATTGAGAAAAAGGCCTATGAAGACTGGACTGGGCCTTGGTTGACTAAAAAGGCCTATGAAGACTGGACTGGGCCGTGGTGCACTAAAATTTGCCCATGAAGACATGACTGGGCCTTGGTTGACTAAAAAGGCCTACGAAGACTGGACTGAGCCTTGGCCGACTAAAAAAGGCCTATGATGACTGCACTGGGCCTTGGTTGACTAAAAAGGCCTATGAAGACTGGACTGGGCCTTGGTCGACCAAAAAAGCCGATCGAGACATGACTGGGCCTTGGTCGACTAACAGGCCTATCTAGAATGGACTGGGCCTTGGTCTTCTAAAAAGGCCGATCAAGACTGTTCTGGGCCTTGGTCGCCTTAAAAGGCCGATCAAGTCTAATGGGCCTTAGGATTTTAATGGTGGGCCTTGGTCGACTAGAAATGGTCGATCAAGACTAATGGGCTATTCTTTAGTATTGGGCCTCGGCCTACTTAAAAGGTGGATCAATTATAACGGGCTATTGAACTCACGTAACAAAATAGTAATCTTTACAGAAATAAAAAAAACAGTTGCAATCATTTCTGAATTCAATTTATTAATTACGGAATATTATTCAATACTGCAAAATTAATATTAAAGAATTTCATAGCTTTCATAATAGTCCTAAGGTAAATTGAAATAAGGTAAATTGTAATGGTTAAGAAGATACATTTAAGATGTAAAGATAGCTTAATTAATAAATAAAGTTTATGGGTTTAGTAACATTTTCAAAATTAAATGTAATTAAACTCCAACAAATTCTAGAGATGAGATGAGTTACAAAGCTGTTTATAAGGCATTTCCCTTCCTAAAATCAGTTGTTTTTTTAGTAACTTCTCTAGAAGAAAGCTAAACAAACGAAGACAAATTATAAAACAAAACACCCAAACACAGACAGCACCCAAATTTCAATAAATACACAAACAAGTTCTTCTTCTTCTTCTTCTTCTGTTTTATACTAAATACATCACACACCAAAGCCTAATAAACAGGGGGTTATCGCTTTGTCATCCGTCCTCCTCGCTTCAATCAATCAATCAATCAATCAATTCATTTACCGAATCGTATCTATGTTCTTACTCAGCTCCTCCAGCTTCTTCAGCCTCAACCGCTCGCTTTCACTCACCAGCTGCACACCCAACAAACACAAATCAATCCAACACCAACAACGCCACACTAAGAGAAACGGTTTTTTTAGCTAACTAGCTCATTCAAGTAGTCTCCAACAGTCGATATGGTTCGAAATTAATTGAATGGCCCCCCTACGTGCAAAACTAGGTCCTTATTGTCCTACTACTCAGTTATTTATGATGCGCTGGAGATCGAAAATGAAAGGGATTCATGGGGAACTTACCTCCATTAATTTGGTGATGAGCTGAACTTTTTCCTTGTTCTTGTCGTTGAAGGCATCGAGGGCTTCCTTGTACTCTTTTTCCTATGACAGACAATACAAAAACCAGCTCAGTGGTCCTATTTTATATGGTAAGCTACAATAATTGACATTCACAGAACGCAACATCATCTTCTTATATTGTATGCTTGTCCACACACCTATTCCTTCCCCCAAATCTTACCTTCTTTTGACAGGTATGTCCCAGAGGCTTTAATTCCTTGTTCACCGCGTCGATCCTTTTACGAACCTGTGCCACTTCCTTCCTCATCGGATCGGCAAGCGCCTCGAGTTCCTGGCGTTCACGAAAATTTCGTTTCATGAACCAAAACAAACAACAAAACCCAATCCAATACCAACACATTATCATATCTTCTTCTACTACATGTTCATCCACTTGAGCTAATGACTCTTTCAACCAAACATCGTTGATTTTGTAGTGAACACCATAATCTTCTCCTTGAATGTGTAAATGAGAATCTCTAAGTTCTATGGACCTTCCCAGAAAAGGGTTTGAAGAAAATCCCCAAAAGGAAAGGCTAAAATTCAGATCAGAGCCTCAAATTTGTTCTAACGCTTTCAGATGACTAAAAGTATGGGAAAGAAATGAAAAATTAGAGCATTATCTTGATAAAGTGTCTAGGTTAAGAATGCAAGTGAAAAGAATTCAAAGAAACTTACAAATCTGACATAAAGCTGCTTCTAATCCCTAACAAAACATTAATTTAATCCAAAACACCATAGAAAACAGAACTAAGTCATGCAAAAAGGGGGTTAAAAACCCCTGTTCTCAGAGCTTTTAAGCAGAGATTAACCCTAAAATTAGTGAGTTTCAAGAGATCTTCAGCAATTTTATCCCTAACTTTTTCCCCAAACCCACAAAATCCATATAAAACAGAGCAGAAACCAAAATCTAAGCAAAACCCTAAAATCTTGAGAAGATTTTTGGAAGTTTTTGGCGTTACCTCACGAATGCAAGCGAGGCGTTTGGTTTCTTCTTCGACGCGGCCTAACTGAACTTGAACCTTCTCTCTAACCTCCATCTTCTTCCGCTCGATCTCCTCTTCTTTGGCTCTGAAAGTGGACAGAGCCGACCTCGAAATCTCTTCATCTTCCTTCGACAAATGGCTGCTGAAGCTCAAGCTTCCTGGGTTGTTCTGCACCACTAATTGCTGCTGCTGTTGAGCTTGTTCTGGCTGCATCTTTTCAACCACAAAACGCTTCCTCTTCTTCTTCTTCTTCTTGTTCCTCAATGAATTTCCTTAAATTCCTCTGTTCTTCCTCCTCCTTTCTTTCTGGGGTTTGTTGCCTTTTCTCTCTCTTCTTTCGCTTTTGCTTTTGAAATGATGGGGTTTGTGCTGTATTTCTATTCTTTTTTCTCCTCTGGGTATTTCAAGCGCTTATAAAACTACAATGCCTTTTGAAAGTGCCAGCCCAGCTTGCCTTACCCTCTCCCCCCTCGCCTTTATCAACCAGCACACTATATTTTCAATCAATTAATAATAATAATAATAATAATAATAATAATAAATTCTTTTTTTTATTTTTTTCTTTTTTGCGTCACCCAATATCAATCCTAGTATTATACTCGATTTCAATATCATATTAATATAATATTTTAAATATCAATATGAACATAGCTCAACTTAAAATATTTTAAATATTTAAAATTTATGTTCAGTAATTATAAAAATAACCAAAGGTGTTAGCTGAAAAGACCCCAACTGCCAACCACTGCCACTGATGTAGATGTGGAGCTACCCAACTTTATTCACCATTGTTCTTAAAAATTCCAAATGCCACTTGATTGCTTAGTGTTTTTTTTTTTTTTATGCTATAAAACTTTTAATCGTTGGTCGATTGAGGAGGATAGCGATATATTCTTTATAACGGTGTGAAAAATTTTCCCTAACAAACGCGTTTTAAAAACATTGCTTGCAACGGAAAGCCTAAAATGGACAATATCTGATAGCTGTGAGTTTAAACAATTACAATTGGTATCAGAGGCAGACACTAGGTGATGTGTCAGCGATGAGGCTGAGCTCCAAATTGGGTAGATATGAGGCAGTGTGCCAGCAAGAACGCTAGGTCCCGAAGGGAGGTGGATTGGGAGTCCGACGTCGATTAAGAAGGGAACGAGTGCCAGTGAGGACGCGTTTCAAAAACATTGAGGAAAACCCACAAGGGAAAGGTTAGGGGACAATATCCGCTAGCGGTGGGTTTGGACCGTTGCAACTAATTTATTTAAAAGAAATTAGGTTGATATTATAAAAAAATTATATATTTTTTTGAATGAAATTAGGGAGTGATTTAAAATGGTATAAATAATGGTATGGGGTTGGTTACTTTACAAGTTGGTAAAGGGGAAAACTTCAACTAACTCTGCTCTCCAACTCCCTGCGCATGTGCCTACCCATGTCTCTTTATAGATAAATATTCTTCCAATTTTATATTTTTCATAATAATTCATTTATTAATTAAGTAAAATAATTCCCATATAATAAAAAATTAAATTATGGACATTTTTTTTAGTGGATCTATAAATCTGTTCCTGTCGTTGGACAATGATTGGGAATTTGGATGTCACATAATGTCATCTTATTTTCTCTTTTATGAACATTTTTTTAGAAATCATAGTACATTTCATACCGTTTCTTTGTTTTTTTCTGTTTATATTTTTAGCGTTTTCTAAAAATCTCGACCAACATAATTTAACAGGTATGATTTGGATTGGGTTCAAATAAATAACAAATTTGGGTTGAATCGAACCAGTTAATTTTTTTTATGAAAATTGAATAAATAAATGTTCGAGCAACTAATATTTTATTTTATTAAAAATAAAAATTCAAATAAATGATCGAACAACTCAAACCAATTCAATCCATTCATTATTTAATAGGGCTTAATTTAAATATATCTAAACCCAACTCGAACCCCCTTAAAATCTTAATCAAATAAAATTTTAAAAATATAACATAACCAAAAAAATAAGAGTTAAATGAGAAAAAAAAACGCTTTTCAAAAGCATATTGAGAAATGAAATCTACTTTGAGTGTTTACGAAGGGTGCATTTATCCTTTCGAACAAAAGAATGGTACGAAATTAATTTGTATTCAAATAATTTTATAATTCATAATGAAATTTGTAGAATCAGTAAAGACGTAAGAAATAAATATACATAAAATTTTTATTTGTTGTTTAATATTTTTCTTCGTTCATCATTATGTTTATTTGTCATATAAATAGTTATGCATATAAAAAACTATTTTAGCTGATTATAGGCTGAATTATATATATATATATATATGTATGTATATACTTAGATTCTTTCTGCCGTACATACTTGGAATCATCAATACAAATTCTTTAGTTAATATTCTCTTTACATTTTCTCTCTCATGTTCTTTGTGTTCATCTAAATCGATTGTGTGAGTTGTTGTGCGATCCTAACAATTTGGGTATTCTTTTCTTTTCGAGAACTATACAAACGGAATTAAAAAAAAAAAAACAAAAATGTAGCTATCAACTTAGAACATTAAGTATTTACATTAAAATTAAAAATTTAAAAGAAAAAAGAAAAAGCGAAGGCATCTCAATGGACAGCCAAAACTAATAACACAAAGGAAGAAAGAAATCCAAGTTATTTATTTAGTTGCCTTTATATAATTGGCTTTTTATGGAATCTTAACACCCAAGTTATGTCTTTTATTGTGTTTAATTCCCATAATTAAGTCAAAAAGTGTGTTTACAAGTTTTCTCTTTTTTTCTTTTTTTCGTTCACAATATTTAGTTTATTAATTAATTTTTATATTAATGTTTAATTTGTATTCTCTTTTTTCACTTTTCATGGTTTATAAAATTACTAAAATACCCTCAACCATTGCAGCCACTTAGCTACTCCAACGAGACCTTTGTCGACAACTCTAATGATCACCTCCGACTACCACTCTAGCATTAGTCGGTGTTAATTAGTCGATCATAGTCCTTTACAATAATTTGACATTAATACAATTATTTCATATATATAAATATAGAAACGCTCAAGATGTAACAAAATATTAAAGTCAACGTTTTAATCTAAACAGCACTAAGTTTAGGACGTTGAAAAAAAAAACCTTTAAATACACCTCTTTAAATGAAGCACGTTTTCATTAGAATAAAACCATTGGACTTGTGTGCATTTTTAAACTAAATATAAGTGCACAACATTATGATTAAACAATTTAAGAGATAGAGACAGGATCTTTGTAATAAGCTTTAATTTGATTATTCTTTTTACTATAATCTTTACTTTATTCAATTTATTTCTCCAAAAATATTATATATATATATATATATATATATATATATATATATATATATATATATATATATATATATTTATTTATTTGTTGGTGAGGAAGGTAATAGTTTAGACTGTTTATCTCTCCTATTAAATTCAAACACCATTTTATATTATCCTTATAAGATAACGTAATAAATTAAAATTTATATGTCTAGTTAATATTATTAATAAAAAAAACCTAAAATCAACGCCAAAAAATATTTATATTTATAACAGTCAATAAATTGATAACAATTTAATTCAAATAATTATAAATATTTGTAAGATTAAAAGTGTAACATTTTTAAAGTTTGAGATTATAATTAATTTGACAAGTTTTAGGCGAAAATTATTATTATTATTATTTTAAAGTAATTATGATACAAAATTTGACCAATTTGAAGTGGAAAAGAGAAGAAAAAGAATGTGATAAAAATGAACGGCCAGGATCAAATCATGAAATTCAAAGCTGACCCCAGGAATCTCCTGGTGGGGCCCAGAAACGGTTGCTGATTCTCAACTTTAACGGCATGCGATTTGGAATTATGATTTAATTATATCCATTTTTGGAAATTAATATTTTTGCTTCTCATTTAATTTTCCTTTCTATTTTCTTCAAATAATTTGGTTAGGTATACCTTAAAAATATTGAAGTGAATATAACAAAAAAAACAAAAAAAAAAAAAACAAGACAAAACAAAAACTTTATTTCTCAAATTAATACTAATTATGGCATTTAATTAATAAATATTTAATAGCCATAAATATTAGCTTAGAGATGAATCCATGGACGTACAGAAAATAAATCAAATGCTAAACCCAATAAATAGGTAAAGTTTGTTGAACAAAAAAAAAAAAAAAGTGATTAAAAATTAATTAAAAAAAAGTTGAAAAGAAATAAATAAATATTTAAATAAAAATTGAAGCGTTTTGGTTCAACTGTTTGATGTATTCGAGGTTAGAATCTCACCCACAAAATTTGTCCTCATTTCCATCAACTGCCCTCTCGGACGGGCCGTTGGAAGTCAAATCGAACGGCCCAAGTGGGCCATAGGGCCCATTATATGGTTCAGCTTTTAAGAAACAGCCATGGTCGCACTCGCCGCTGTCCTTTGAATGAAATGTGTTTTCCAATTATACCCTCTTCCATATGTTAGTTTCTCAATTATGCCCTTCATTTTTCAATGAACATTAAATATTCTATTTTTTTTTTTTTTGCTTTTAAAATATTATTTATAGAGCTTTTCATAGGTATGCGGGTTTGGACCGCAATACCTTTTGGGCCCAATCATTTTGGGCCTACCCAGTCCATTCTTCTGGGTTTATTGGGCTTGCGGAATTGGGTGAAAGCCCAGTTTAATTTGAGCCGAAATCTTAAGGAAAATGAACACGACCTCACGTGGTCCAATCAGAGGCAGGCAGTTAAGTTAGAGTTAGAAACTTACAATACGAGTGGATACACTGAAGAGAAGCTCAAGCGCAATAGGTAAATAGGGAGATAGGGAAGCACAAGGAGACAAAAAAGAAAAGACACGTGATGAGAAAACACGTGGAGGCACGTGATACCTCGCGTGCCGGCGTGCCCTTCTTCTTCTTTTTTTTTTTTAAATTTATTTATTTAATTTTGTATCAAACAAAAAATGTAAGAAAATTAAATAAAAAAATAATAAAAGAAAAGGGGACTCACGTGAGGAGGCTGTGCGGTCTGACAAGGTTTTTTGAATTTTATCTGACAGTTCTCTGACAAAACTGGACAGTGTCGAATGCTCCCCTCCTCTCACTCTCTCTCAGACACGTGAGATGATCCTTTTCTATTTTTTTCATTCCCATTAAACTATCATTTTTGTTATAATATTTTACTTAAAAAAAAAATTATTTTCAAACATCCAATTTGTCTAATTTTTAAACAAATTTAAAGTTAACTTTTCTATTAAAATATATTAAATAATAAAAATAATTCTTTTACAATAAAAAATTCAAATATATTTTCAAAATTTATAAAACGAACAAATTTACGTATCGCTGTCAATCTCACAGTTTTAATAATAAGGAAGAGTTTTCCACAACCTTATAAAAGATATTTCGTTTCATTAAATCCACTCCTTTAGGGGCCATCGTTCTCACTG